TGTACCAGAACAAGTGACAGTGTGGGGCAGGATGCTTTGGGCACCAGGGTGCCTTCCTGGGCAAGTGCTGCTGGGGACGGCACGTGAAAGAGGCTCAGCACCTGGAGCCAGGGCACAGCAGTCAGACTCGCAGCTGAGAGACTCCAAAGCAGGGCAGCAAGATGTTGGGCAGAGAAGAGCCCAGAAGTCTCAGTGACAGGAACACAGCTGAACTCTTTTCAGGGGACCTATCTTTAGAAGGATGAATTTGTCGGTTCAATGCACCATCACCACAGCACCTGCTGTCCCAAAGGTGGAGGAGTGGTGACAGCCTGTGGGGGAGGACTCCACTGCAGTATGACTCTTACTGATAGGGACAATCCCTTAGGGTCTTATTTCCTAGGTAAGAAGAAGCTAATGCAATGTATCCTCTTATTTTCATGTCATTGTTTCAGTGTGGCACTTCAGAATACATCCACAATTCATTCAAGGATCTTCTCTCAGACATCACCATGCCGAATGCTACATACTCCCTCAAGATGGCTGACAGACTCTATATTGAAAAAACATGCCCCGTTCTTCCGGTGAGTTGTACTGTGACCTGACTTCAGCGAGATTCCCCGTAAAGGCCCCTGTGACTCTACCCTGGAGAAGCACAACCAACAGCAGCCCACTGTTGACGAAGAGGTGGTTGTGTGGCATGAGGGGAACTGGTTCAGAACAAGTTTGAACCTTCCTGTGGCTGTTAGGTGGAGGCCAGGCAAAAGTATAACGGCATAAAATATGCCCATGTTGCAACAGTCACAAGGATTACTCTTCATTTTCTATAAAATGGCTTTTAATGAAAAATGTAACTTGTAAGCAAAATCAAATACATTTTATGATGTGAAAGCATGAAGACTGAAATTGTCAAATTTGGATTTTTTCAAAGCCAAATATCAAACCTTCCCAGTGAAAGGAAACTTTGGTTTGGAAACCTAAGAATACGAGAACACATTATTCAAAATAAAAAGTGGGCACCAAGAGAAGGAAGCAAACAGTGTCTGTCCTTAAAAATGTTTGTTAAACTGAAAGTGTTCTGGTAAAACTAAGAAAATATTTCAAGATTTTAACTTAAAGTCCTTTCTGAAAAAAAGTGACAGACCTAAATATGTGAAGTAGTTTTTCTTGTCCAGCTTTAAGATTCAGTTGCAGGAAGACAGCTGTGATAGACGTGTTCAAACACAAGGGTGTTCACTGTTCTTTTAACCATTCTGCTTCATTTCACTGTCTTGTATTTCACATTCATAAATTTGCAAGTTCTCATCAGTCTGAGAACTGCAATCCTTCTGTTTACAGGAATACATAAAGTGTGCAAAGAAATTCTACAAAGCAGGGCTGGAAGAAGTTAACTTCAAAACAGCTACAGAGGAAGCAAGACAGCTCGTTAATTCCTGGGTGGAGAAAGAGACAAATGGTAAGGACTGAAAAATGGGTAGCAGATATTTCCCACTACCTATTGTAATCTACCTTGTCTTCCTCTCCTCGTAGAGGAGAAAGTGGGGCAAGAAAGAGCAGGTTGTTTATTGCTATGAAAACAAATCTCTGCAAAGCGGCACCCCCCAGCCCCATGTCCTTCATAGCAGGCATTTGTGCACACCAGAGGAGGTGTATCTTATCACTCTCTGCCCTTCTTCTTTCTTAAAGGACAGATACAAGATTTCCTTGTGTCAGGTTCTGTTGATCCCGATACTGCGCTGGTCCTTGTGAATGCCATTTACTTCAAAGGGATATGGAAGACGGCGTTTAAAGAAGAACACACTCGGGAAGTGCCCTTCAATGTGTCAGAGGTAGGAGGAGAGCATGGACACAACTCCTGGCCAGGACAGCTGTTGGCTCACACAGCCCGCATTCTGGGTGTTACACATACAACCTGTTGCTGTTACAGATTGGGTGATTTAGTTGGGCCTCTCACTGTCAGTGCCTGGGCCTAAGGCCAAGCAGTGTTTGCAAGAGCTGTGTCTGACCAGGCTTCCGGGACACAACAGCAAGCAAGAGAGGAAAATAGGGACACAGCTCTTCTTCAAAGGCGACATGCTTGAAGATCAAGCTCTGCCCCTTTCAAAGGGCTTGCATATTTGCCTCCTTAAAGAAAAAATTGCTCCCTGGTCACATCCTCTCATGTTTCTGTTTTCGCAGCAAGAAAGCAGACCCGTGCAAATGATGTGTCAAAACGGTACCTTCAAAGTGGCAGCGGTGCCCGCAGAGAAAATGAAGATCCTGGAGCTTCCGTATGCCAGCGGGCAGCTGAGCATGTTGGTGCTGTTGCCTGATGACATCTCTGGCCTGGAGCAGGTATGGCCCCGGCAGGGGAAGCAGAAGAGTTACTGCTTCTGTGGGACCTGGCTACTGTCAGACCTTTTGCTGTCCATGTACACCCCAGCTGCCCACACCATGGCTGTGCTGGGCAGGCAGGGGAGCACAACACCGCCCAGGTGCTACCAGGTGCCCAGGCAGAGACTGACCTCTTAGGAGAGCCCTTGACTCAGTCTAATAAAATGAAGGTACAGGAGCATAGTGCTGCAGAAGAGGATGGTGCTATACACACTGATCTCCACCAGGTACCAGAAGCAGATATGCTAGCAGGGTTTTTTCATTTCAAGTGATTTCGGTCTTACAGGACAGCACTCAATGTTTTGCTAAACAAGAAAAGTTTATCCAAGGGGAAATAAAAAAGGAAATTACAAGGAAAGCATTCCAAGAGCTGAGTGAAAGGAAAATGGGAAAAGTAGTGTTAGAAAGAAACTAAGATGAGGGAAGGGATCAATAAAATATATTCCAGGAGGAAAAATTTTGGGGGTCAATTTGATTTATTGTTTTCAAGAACTTTATTTTCACAAAAAAAAGCTTTGATCTGATGAAGAAATTTTCCGATGACAACGTTTTGGAGAACTTCATCAAGACAGATAAGATATAGTTTGTAGTCATAAGGAAGCACACAGGATAAACAAATACATTTAAGATTAAGTATCAGTTCTATTGTGTACACAAAGTAAATGGAGAGAAATATTAACAAGTGGTATAAACACAGCCATGAAGGCCATCGCACTCATCTCAGGCATTTCATTCCCTGCCTCTCTTTGCAGCTTGAGAACAAGATCAGCTTTGAGAAACTTACAGAGTGGACCAGTCCGAATGTGATGGAAAAGAAGAGAGTGAAAGTGTACCTCCCGCGCATGAAGATTGTGGAAAAATATAACCTCACATCTGTCTTAATGGCCCTGGGTATGACCGACCTGTTCAGCCCTTCGGCCAATCTGTCTGGCATTTCTTCAGCAGAGAGCCTGAAGATATCTGAGGCCATGCATGAGGCGTACATGGAAGTTAATGAAGAGGGCACCGAGATGGCAGGCTCAGCAGGGGTGATGGGAGACATCAAGCATTCCTCTGAGTTTGAAGAGTTTAGGGCTGACCACCCTTTCCTTTTCTTGATCAAACACAATCCAACCAACAGCATCCTCTTCTTTGGCAAATATTGTTCCCCCTAAGGAGAAAAAGAGCTGGAAATAATGCTTGCCTTCCCCTCAGAAACAGACTCCCCTTACTGTAGTATTGTAGTATAATCTCATCACTTCAATATTTTCTCCAAATGGAAAGCCTTCAATATCTAGGGAGATATTCTTGAAGAAGTGTGTGACTTTTCAGATCTTGATGTGCAGGTATTTCTGCTCACACAACTTGTATTCAGGACGTGTATTCAGAATTGACTAAGAATTTCAGGAGGTAGTTTAGGAGTATTTCCCATTGTCATTGAACAACTTTAGAGAGAGGGCCAGTGTTTTGATTTTTGTGAGAAATCTTGCCACTGCTATTGAGAATCTGGTTTCTCTACAGGTGTTCTGTGAAATAAACAGCTTTCAAAACAATCTGAATAATCCTTTCTATTGAACTCACTGGGCCACTATTCTTGAATTGATGCCTGGACAACTTGCAGATAACATTCTAAACTTCAGCAAAGCATTCTTCTTCCAGGAATGCATTTGGGATTCTTTGTGCTGCACATACTATAAAGCTGTGTCTCTTGTTCTGAGGGAGCATATAGAAAGTCTACCATTTCGTCATAAATCATCATCTCCAAATACAACATCTTCCTGACTGATGTAATTTCCCATGTTCATTTCAGTGACATAACATTGATTTTATGAATGTTAGTTGGTGGTTCTTCTATTTATTCTAATAAAAGCATTGCAAACTAAACATGTCATTACCTAGTCTGGGTTACTGCACCACACAATCTGAAACCCGATACACTGGGTAGTAATTATTGACTAAGTGGTTTAGACTAGCATTTAGATCCTCTTTTAAAAACCAGAATGTATCCATATATGAAGTCACTAAACAGCTTAAGAATATTTTTTTTAAATTTTGAACTTAAGCAAGGTAAACCCTACAGCTCCTATTATTACCTTGACCTTATCTTCATATAGCATACCAAATAACTATATTATCCAAATTTGCCATTGTATTTCCAGATAGTTTTAAAAGATTTCCTCTAAGTGTTGTCAGTAAATATATCAAGCTGATGCCTAAGAGATACAGCTTCAAAAACATGAGAAGAGCGTTCGTCTGAAAAGGTGGGCTGCTTCAGCTCTCTCATACCCACAAGAATCGTACAGGGAAATCTTTCGTGTTGCCTTTTGAGGTGATAATCCTCTTGATGTTGTTGTTTGCTATTTCACAATCTTTAGCAGGAAGGTTCTTTAGGTTACAGTTTATCAAATTAAAGATATTATTAATGCTAATTGCTGAGTTAAGCAATCTCCCTTCTGTTGGGAGAATGCAGAACTGTAAATTACAGTATCAAGACTTAAAAAGCATTTAAAAAGGAGACACATGGTGGTATCTGGAGCTGCCTCAACCATTTGCAAAGTCAAATTAAATATAACTTAAAATGATGGTGCTGGCAGCAGGGAAGCACATGTACATAGCTGCTATGAAGTCTATGGGAGAACTGCAAATACTGGTCTTCCCAAAAGAGTCATAAAGCATTAGCTATAGTTAACATGAGTATTCAAGCAAAAAAGTATCTCAAAAGATATGACATTTCAAGGTTTACTGTGCACATTATGTTCTGCTTCCCTTACAGCCAAAAGCAGCTGAGTTTTCCTACAACTAAAAAAAAAAAAATATTAAAAAACCTCAGGATTTGTAAAATATTTTCTTAAGAAGCAGAGTGTGTGAGGTTATTAGACAATTATAAAACTGTTATTAAACTGAAATAAGCATGTCTGTCACTCTGCACTTTCTAGGTACAATGCAAATAAAACTATCAATGTTTATTATGGAAGTATTTATTACATAACATGAAGAAAAAAAAAAAGCTATTCTCTTGTTTAATTGTGCTTTTGTTTGATGATTATTTTAAAGCAAAGAAATGAAGAAAATCAAGGCTGAAATAGTAAGCGGCTTCCTAAAACTACACACGAGAGAGGTACAGAGTCCACCTAATGTCCTCACCGTGAAACACAAGCATTTGACTCTTGTTTTAAACTGGTCCATTAGGTGTCACTAGGGATACGAAGTGATGTTTATCAGCCTTCTGAAAGAACGACATCTGTTGAAAACCAGGTTTGGGAGCTTAATGTAGGTTCCAATTTTGTTCTTATTTTAATTTTTGTGCAAGCAGATAATTCCGATTGATAGACTGAAAATGTAGACCAGTGGCACTGTGCTTGGAACCCAGTAATTTTTTAAGAAAAAGACAGAAATATTATTTGGTGAAAGTCCAGAAGCATTTTAAGATGTCTGTGCCCTGAATGAAAAAATAGTATCACAGTCAAATACTGTAGAAGGGATAGAACTATTTGTTTTATGAATGAGAAAACCTCCTCTGTAAAAATGAGCAGTAAAAGTGCAGATTCAACAAAGTTGACTAAAATCTATACCTCCTGTTGGAGGTATACAGTTGGGCCCAGAACTGTGCCTATGCTGGTCTGGGCCAACAGGACCTGTTGTAAAGGAGCTGCCATGGTGAACGTGGCTGCTGGTGCCCCCATGGGAAGCAATTCTGCAAAAAGCAGCAGGGAGGGTGTTACAAAGGGTTGAGGGGAGAGCAGCCATGAGGCAACCAAACGCTGTCTGCTGCTTCTGAGCTCTGAAGCCCAGAAAGAGTTTAAAAACTTGAATCCCAGTTTCCACAAAGTCCAGGTATTGTCAAATAGTCCTTTTTGTTCCCTGGTAGCATGACTGAGGTTGGTATGTCAAGAAAATGCCATCTGTCCATCCACTACACTCCGTTTTCGCTGTGTGCTGTGTTGGTTTGGATACACAGTACTGCTAGGGGTCTGTGGAACAAAACCAGCCACATGCAATCCCATTCTTTTTAATGCTGCACAGGACAGCATTAGAAGTACTCTGTGGTCTAAGTGGGCCTTTCCTTCTCGTGCCATTTGGGGAATGGTTGGAGCTGACAGATTTTCTCTGCCCTTTGGGGAATATAATTGTCTGAGACCATTCTACACTTCTCTGCACATTTGACTTGCAAGAAAGGACTACCTTCTCCTAAACAAACCAAATCCGGGGCTGAAGGCACAAGACTTTGCAGGCAGTATGCTCTAATCTTAGTCACTGGAGGAAAAGCACTCAGAGAACATCCTGGACTCCAAGGGGAAAGATGTCCTGAGTTTCTGAATGATCCATGAGAAAGCACAGCGTGCTGAATCAAACTGAAAGCTACATATCGGCTAGGAAGGATTTGACATGGAACAGTGGTTCAGTTTTCTGTTTCTTGTGGCTAGTGAGCTAAGACTCTTCAATCTGGAAAAGAGACGGCGGAGAGGGGATTGTTAATAAGCAGCAGGGGTGAGGCTGCTTGGCAAGGGAAGGGGACCCAGGGCAGCAAGGCCAGGAAGGCAAGGGCCTCCCTGATACGGTGTTCAGTGCTAGGATGAACACAGAGATTTCATGAGTAAGTGCAGCTGAGACTGGCTAGCTATGTGTTAAAGGAACAAATGCCATGTACAATTACTTTTCTTGCCCTGGTGTTTTCCTCACCTGAAGCTCGCTGCAATTCCAGCAGAGTCCATAAAAGTTGCTTTTCCTTCAGCAGCAATCAAATCATATTCGCAGCATCCTATGGGCCACCAAGTGATGTCAGGGTGACAACCCATTTTGAAAACGGCAGTTGTACATGGCATAGATCCAATGTAACTGCATTTGTATTGGCAGACTGGCTGCATTGGTGATCTCTGCTATAGGTGAAAAGGATGTGGCAGGGTACGTATTTTCCACATAGGTGAATAAGTGATGCCTTTCTTTTACAAGGTTGGATGGATGTGAGAGAAACTTGCCCGATTTATGTTCGCGTTCACCTTCGCTGTGCACAATGCTGCCTTTTCAGACTTCTAACCCTTGTGAAGGCACAGAGAAATTCTCAGATTTGAAGGACTTTTGCGATCTTGACATCTGTTATCAATTGCCATCTGAGTGGATCACTAAGTGCCCTGAATTGCTGACAAGTTGTCTGCTACCCCTGGCTAGATCTGGTGAGGAAGCAAGCCCAGGAGCAGCAGGAGGGAGTGTGACAAGCTCAGTATTGTTTGTTCACCAAACCTAAAAACTCTCATTGTTACAGTGTTTCATGAAAGGCAGCTGCTTGGCAGGATGGGGCAAGATAGCCAACATCTGCTAAGCAAACAAGGCCAGGCTGCAAGGTCGAGTTATGCTAACATCATAAATTGTGAAAAG